AAAAATACATAAACTAGACTAGCTCCCCTTTGCTCTCAGGTAAGAACGAAAGGCAATAGAGATCTAATTAATTTTAGTCCCGTTGCCCTTCAAGTCCTAAAGATCAAAGAGAATTTTTCCTATAAGAGAAGAATAAAATATGCATTATAGTTATATCCTTAAGCTAGCGATTTTTTAAATTTCTTAAGTGATAGTGATCTTATATTTGAAATAAGCCAGTAGCCATTAAACAATCACGTTTTCTTTTTATATAGCATGGGGGGACTTCAGTAAATTGCACTTTCAGATACACGTCAGTCGTTCTTGGACAACATACGGACAAGGACATCAAGGGGGGGGGGATGGAGGGCGACAACACCCTCCCCCTAACCCTACCCATTTCCTTCTATTTTCATTATTTAAGTGCTGCTTTATAGACGTTCACGAATCACTGCCTCATCTCTCTTTATCCTTGGGTGTCGTGGTTATCGTGGTGAGGGAGGGTACACTTTTTTCGTATCTCTCTTTCTCTCTCCCTTCTCTCTCTCTCTCTCTCTCTCTCTCTCTCTCTCTCTCTCTCTCTCTCTCTCTCTCTCTCTCTCTCTCTCTCTCTCTCTCTCTCTCTCTCTCTCTCTCTCTCTCTCTCTCTCTCTCTCTCTCTCTCTCTCTCTCTCTCTCTCTCTCTCCTCTCTCTCTCTCTCTCTCTCTCTCTCTCTCTCTCTCTCTCTCTCTCTCTCTTATCTCTTTTCTCTCTTTCTCTATCTACCCTTCTTTTCTCTCTCTATCTACCTCTCTCCCTCTCTATCTATCTATCTATCTATCTATCTATCTATCTATCTATCTATCTATCTCGCTCCTGTTTGTCTTTGTATCTCTGATCCCTTGTCCCTAAGCTAGAAATGAATCGATATGTAGATAAATGTGGCAAAAAAGAAGGAAAAATTAACCTTATATATCTAAAGAAAAAAAAACAATTTCAAACTACTGATATAGTGTACTTTTCACGTGATTTTATATTCTTATTTACTTTTCTATCATTCGCCATGTAAGTTCTCTATTCTCATCTACATACAGTATCGATAATGCTTATCATATATGCATTAACATTATATACATAACTCATAAAATAATAATAATAATAATAATAATAATAATAATAATAATAATAATAATAATAATAATAATAATAATAATAATAATAATAATAATAATAATAATAATAATAACAATAACATAGGTGGAAATTGAAATTAAAATGATACATTCTTTCTAGATTTTGATGTCACGTTCGTCAAAATCAGAATACATTCTAGACATTAGGATTTCCCCATTATAGGCGGAGAATGTAATGACGTAAACTATACTTGCATTTAAGTCATTTTACCCTGGAAATAGTGTAGCAAACATGAAATGGATATTTGATATGCTTATTTCGACAAAACTTCTCTTATATCATGATTTAGAGAAACACGTTGGTTCCATATTTACATGCTTGGAAGTGAATGTATCCGAAACGTTTAATAGAGACCAGACTTCAACTTCCTTAAAGTTTCACATTACATTATTTATGGAAGATAGATAAATCTAATAGCTTTATTGATTATAGAGAAACAATAAAAGATATAAATATTTTGTAACCTTATCTCATCCATTAAAAATATAGCATAGTCTTCGAAAATACTACAGCTACAACCCATTCGGATGTGCCTTAGTCAAAACCTGGCTTTGCCGGGTCTCGCGCGAGGAAATACGGCCACATTTTCTTTATTTTAGCCGTAAATTGGAGAGAATTTATTAGTTCTACGGGAGTTTCCTACACTACAGAAAGGTGAGAATGGTTTACAATTCACGTAAGTCTTTTTGAGAGTCAGAATATAGAGTTTATTACCAGTATTAACTTCGCCTTCTGTTTGACATGTGTTTTTACTCTCCAATTCTGTTGTCTGCGATTAAAGATCTTAATTAGATGAAACTTACGGAGATATCCAGCGAATGTCGTTTAAGAAAGCAGCGACATGGATAGATGAGGTGACGCTAGTGTAAAATATTAGCTTCCCATCTCCAGTTGTCGTGATCAGCTGAAAATTCTCCGTGGCTCTCGGATTTTTGTCTTATATTGGTTTTTATTCTGTCCAAACCTCCTTGAGATTTGCTGCGATGGGAGAAGGCACAGCGTCGAGCAGTCGCTGTGGCCTCAAATCTGTGCAGCGGCGGCTCGTCCTCAGGAGCTGCTGCTGAGCTGCTGTTCCCCACAGATGCTCACTGCCTGGCTTATGACTCCATCAGTCTTGCTTATCGTGTCTCTATACGATGTTTTCAATATATTTAGAACAATTTTTTTAACCCTTCAGTGAGAGGTACAGCTATAGGGCGATTCGGCAGGACGTCAGCAGCTTAGCAACGCATAGCGACTATATCCACGGGGTGAAAACAAATCACAAATGATGCCGCCAGCCTATACACTAAAATATTCGTTCTGGATTCATTTCACGTTTTCTAATAATTTTCACAAAATCCTTGAGATGTCATACAGATATTTTGATACATTAGCAGGAGAAGCAAAAATTTGGTACATGGAGAAACTGAAAAATGTAAAGCTGGAGGAATGTCCATGCAGATTGCCAGCTGATTTTTGGGTTGACAATCCCAAGACATGGCCTAATGTCGAATATCCCAATGTTTACGAATATTTGATTAATACTCGGGGTAAAAAATTGTTCATTCTATATTTAGTGCATTTTATAGTTTTTTTAATTACTTTTTAAAACTTAGTATTAGATTGTTGCGTTTTTTGTTTTTTTTTGTTCTCGGTCTTGAAATCAATGGAGGGACAGACCTTTCCTCTTCATTAGATTATGGTTTGAGCAACCTACAGCTATGCAACTCTTTAGCATTTTCAACTTTTCTCAGTAATATGCGAAAAAACAAACGACATCAATGAATCACCACTGAAAACTAGCTTCAGACTAGCTGCATACAGCTTAGGCCTAGCCATGATGTCTAGACTATTACATAATATTACATCATGAAAAATTTAGGCCCCGTCATCATAGGGTTAAATATCAATATTTAATTGAGGCAAAAATAGAAGTTTCATACTATACAATAGGAAAGGATTCATTAGCGTTTCTAGTGACAAGAAGAGGCCTTCAGTATGTCTCCTAAATGCCAGATGCCCAATTTTATTTTCTATTATTATTAGCATCCCGCCCTCAGCCATCCATACCTCCATTAATATGACAATGAAAATCCTGTATGGACCTGCGGTACATAAAAGTAGATGCTTACAGATTCATTGTTTGATTTATTTTTTATTGATTGTTTTTCTTATAATGAGTTAGTCGTATTATTTTCTGTAATACATTTTTGGATTAACATTATTGTGTTAGGCATGTTATTTTTTTTCCTTTTGATAATTTCTTTTTATTATTATTTTTATATTGGAGTACCCTTGAGGTCTTTGGCTAGCATTATAGGGACTATAGGGGTGCAGCCACTTCATTAACAATTACACAGGTAACTTCTTCACCTTCACCAAAATTTGGGAATATGTTCAAAAGTAGTAGTAATTACCTGTTTCAAATTCCAAATGAAATTTAGGTAAATCTTCAGAATAGAATGTCAAGTCTGAAGTATTTGGTATAAAACATCTGAAAAGTGTAATTGTAAGGCTACAACACTCCACTCACCTCTCAAATCTATACATGTGGCAAAGTCTTGATGCTGTGGCCTCCATGCTCTGTGCAATAAAGGGAATTTAAACCACAGTGTCTATTTTCTGGCAAAAAGAGCAGTCAACCTCTTTGGCTATTTTCTTTTGTGTAGAGCCATGGAATTACTCCCGGTTGAATAATTGTCTCCACACAGCATTCTGCACTCCATATTTTTGTCGTTTAACTCAAATAGGTCCGCATCTCCAAAAATTTTGATAGCAGTGAATGTAGTTTATCATCACCTACTACACTATGATCTTCAATTTTCTCCTAGTCGGTGCTGCCCTTTCATAAACCTTAACCAGTTATGTCTGTAGATATATGTATGATATGCATATGTACTGAATATATTATTATTGTTGCTATCTATATCCCATTATGTCTTGAATGATTGTGTGCTTCAGTAATTATCTAGTGTTTGAGCATTTGTGTACCCACCATGAAAAGCAAATAACCTGAACTGTGTCTTTCTTTCTCTCTCTGGACTCTCTTCTGTCTCTCTCTCTCTCTCTCTCTCTCTCTCTCTTCTCTCTTCTCTCTCTCTCTCTCTTTATTTATTTATTTATTTCTAGTCTAGATTTTTCTCATATTTATAGCATATGATTTGATATGTTTTTGGTAAATTGCCATACATTGCATATCCCATTTGGGACAATTCTGTCTTTATGGCCACAAGCCAAAAAATTTTTATTGGGGCAATTGCATTAAAAAGTATTTTACCCATAGAACTTGGCACTTAAAAAGTATTTTACCCATAGTACTTGGCACTTAAAGCATAATATGGTCAGGAGAGTTACCGTCACTTACATAGGATTATTGCTAATGCATTTGAATTTCAGACTTTGATTATGTGTCTTCTTCTAGTAAGAATGTTTTAGAAATATTTCCAACTCCACTTATAGGTGAAATGTTTTCTTTGAAATCTGAACTATTGGAAGACCTTTAGAAACAGTATGAACCAATACCAAAGCTCAAGCATGTTCGTGTCTATTCCAGATGTCTCGAGAAAGCTTCTGCTGAGCATCGAGGCATCGGCGCAGGCACTATGGGACAAGGAAAAAGATCTTCGGGAAAATGCTACCTGGTGACCTTCCCTTACCCTTACATGAACTGCATTTGGGCTTCAACTCTTCTACTGTTTTTTACCCTTTTTCCTCTCATCCTCCTCTCCTCCTCCTCCTCCTCCTCCTCCTCGCTCTCTGCCCATTATTGCCAGATTTAGGTGAAACTCTTATTAGATCTTTGTTATTATTTCCCACCAAATTGTACAGATATCCTTCCTTATTTTGCATACGTATTTGGTAATGAATGATTACATTTTTGCACTCTCATGATTACCCGTTCTCTGTATTGCAGTTCGCAGTTGGCTATCAGAGGATGAAAGGAAAACGGTGTCTCTTTCCCTTTGGGCTTCACTGTACTGGTAAGAGATTTGTCATGTGTTTAGCGGACGATATTTATTTTTTGTTTTCTAGGAATCCTTTTCCCCATGATAATGATAGTATAGATAGATGATGATAATGATAATAACCATATTGATTATGATAACAATAGTGATTATAATAACAGTTTTAGCAATGAAAGATAAAAATGATAATTGTAACATATGGATAGAAAAAAAATATATGGATAGGCAGAGCTCATATCATACCGATCAACAGATACAATATGCAGTTCATACAAAGAGAAAAACACAAAGTATAAAGTTTCTTGAACTCTGAACAGGAATGCCCATAAAGGCGAGTTCGGACAAGCTGAAGAGGGAGGTCGAGGATTTCGGATGTCCACCAAATTTCCCCGAGGAAGAAGTTCAAGAGGAGGTCCAGGTCCAAGAAGTGACGATCAAGGATAAGTCGAAGGGAAAGAAGGTGAGTGAATGAGGGATAAGGAGAGAATGAGAAAGATGAAGAAGGAAAGAGTGCAGGAGGGAGAAAATGAGAGAGGAAGGCAGGGAAGGAGGCAAGTGTAAGGTGTGTGGAAGGGATGGAAATAGGAAGAGTGTGAGAGACTGAGATAGAATGTATGTAAAGATGGGTAAATAGATTGTGATGTAGAGATATATATATTTTTTTTTTGTTATTATTTTTTCATTTATTTATTTATTCCCTCTCAGTATTCCTTACACTCTTTTTTAAATCTACTAATCCTGTTTATTTCTATATCTTCCATTATGGTTGTTGTAAAGTCAAATGGCATAGAGGAATGAGTGCTTTTTCTTTCTTATCTTTTTTATGCATTATCATGTCTTATTAAAATTTTCTTTCTAGAGCAAAGCAGCTGCCAAGACCGGTGGGATGAAGTACCAGTGGCAGATCATGCGAAGTCTCGGCATTGAAGATGAGGAAATTAAGAAGTTCACCGACGAAGATTATTGGCTCAACTACTTCCCGCCACACTGCGTAGCGGATCTTAAGCGTGTAGGTCTCCACGTTGACTGGAGACGTTCCTTCATCACCACCGACCGCAATCCCTACTATGACTCATTCGTGCGCTGGCAGTTCATCCGTTTGAAGGAGAGGGGGAAGGTCCAATTCGGAAAGAGGTGAGGTCTGAATGTTGGTCTCGCAGGCTTCTTCAATATTCGAGATGATAAAGTAGGAGATGGGTTGAATTAGAGGTCTCATTCTCATCTTAATTTCTCTTATGTGTATGGTTTAGAATTACTCTGCATACATAGTTTGTAAAAGAGGAGTATTGGAAGCAATTATGATAAGAAAAATGGGGTTACTTTTTTTTCCAGCTTAGATTTAATTTTTCAGGATTGTAAAAATTTGTGTAAAGGAAAGTATTTTGGTAACATATTAACAGGCTTAAGTGGTTAAAGATAGAATATTTTAATGTTGGAGACATTGTAATTGATGTGTAACAATGACTTACCTAATGTACCATAAGCTAACTAATATAAATATTATGTTTGGGTTGATGGTAGTTCTGTAGATCATAATTCTCAAGTTTTAAAGTCACCTTGTGTGGAGGAAAAATAATGAAGATGATTTTATCCCATTCCAGATACACAATTTTCTCACCAAAGGATGGCCAGCCTTGCATGGACCATGACAGGTCAACTGGGGAAGGAGTCGGACCTCAAGAGTACACCCTGATCAAGATGCAGGTCCAGGAACTCAAGGGAAAGCTAGCGGCTCTTGCCTCCAAGAAGGTCTACCTGGTTGCAGCAACCCTCAGGCCAGAAACCATGTATGGTCAAACAAACTGTTGGCTTGGGCCAGACTTGACCTACGTAGCTGTAGAGACCAAAGACAAGGAGGTTTTGGTATGTACAAGACGTGCAGCTAGGAATATGGCTTTCCAGGGCATGTTGAGTGTGGAGAATGAAGTGAAAACCATTCTGGAAATGAAGGGTCATGAAATCATGGGAATCAAGCTCAGTGCCCCCCTCACCAGCTACAAAACCATCTATACCCTTCCTATGCTGACGGTTAAGGAGGAAAAAGGCACAGGGGTGGTTACTTCCGTGCCATCGGATGCTCCAGATGACTTTGCAGCTCTCATGGATTTGAAGAACAAACCAGCTCTGCGGGAGAAGTACAACATCACCGAAGAAATGGTTAATGTAGAGCCAGTTCCAATCATTGATGTCCCAGAGTATGGAACACTAAGTGCACCATCCATCTGCCAAACGATGGGAATCAAGTCCCAGAACGATCGTGATAAATTGGTCGAAGCCAAGGAAAAGGTGTATCTACGTGGCTTTTATGAAGGTACCCTGTTGGTTGGGGACTTCAAGGGGAAGAAGGTACAAGATGTGAAGAAAAGTATTCAAGATATGTTGATTAAAAAGAAGGAGGCCATGATCTACCAAGAGCCAGAAAAGCAGATCATTTCTCGCTCAGGGGATGAATGTGTCGTAGCGCTGTGTGATCAGTGGTACCTAGACTATGGTGAACCAAAATGGCGTGCCGAGGCTCAGAAAAACCTTGATTCAATGGAGACTTATCATGAAGAGGTACGGCGCAATTTTGAAGCCACTTTGGGATGGCTGAAAGGCCATGCTTGTTCCAGGACATATGGACTGGGCACAAGGCTTCCCTGGGATGAGACGTGGCTGATTGAGTCCTTGTCTGATTCCACCATATACATGGCTTACTATACTGTTGCTCACATGCTTCATAAAGACCTGTACGGCAAGGCTGGCAACGACTATGGGATCAAGCCCGAGTACATGACACCTGAAATTTGGGATTATGTGTTCCACCAGACTTGCAAGCCTCCACAATCCCCAATCAAGAGAGAAGTTCTTGATAAAATGAGGCACGAGTTTGGTTATTGGTATCCAGTTGACTTGAGAGTGTCAGGAAAGGATCTGGTTCCCAACCATCTGACATACTTCCTCTACAACCACACAGCGATGTGGCCAACACAGCCCAACAACTGGCCCAAAGGAGTTCGAGCTAATGGACATCTGCTCCTTAATTCAGAGAAGATGTCAAAGTCGACTGGAAATTTCCTCACTTTGACTGATGCCCTTGATCGCTATGGTGCTGATGGTATGAGACTGGCTCTTGCCAACTCTGGAGATTCCGTTGAAGATGCCAATTTCGAGACACAGGTCGCAGATTCTGGAGTCCTCAGGCTTTGGACATTCGTAGAATTGTCAAAGGAACTTATGGCTGAGAAGAATACAATGCGTCTTGGTCCGTACACAGTTAACGATATCATGTTCACAGCTGAAATGAACTTGAAGATTAGAGAAACTGATGATTACTACAAGAGCATGATGTTCAAGGAAGCCCTGAGAACTGGATTCTTTGAGTACAGTAACTTCTTCCATCAATATCGTGAGCGTGCGCAAGTTCAGACTGGGATGCACTGGGAACTTGTTAATCGTTATCTTACAACCCAAGTGCAACTCCTAGCCCCAATTTGCCCACATGTCTGTGATCATGTTTGGATGAACATTCTTGGAAACCCTAAGTCTATCCTACATGCTCAGTGGCCTTCTTCAGAGGAACCTAACCTTACACTTGTCAAGGCATCAGAGTACCTTGCTGATGCCTCACACAGGTTCCGTCTCCGCCTCAAGTCCCACATGACTCCAGCAAAGGCCAAGAAAGGGGAGACAGCAGCTGTTCCCGAGCAACCTTCCCATGGCACCATCTGGGTTGCAAAAACTTTCCCCAAGTGGCAGAGCATCATCTTGACAACAATGCATGGTCTTTACAAAGCTAATGGAGATAAGTTGCCTGATAACAAGGAAATCTCAAAAGCTTTGGGAGCCAATGCTGAGCTGAAGAAGTACATGAAGAAGGCCATGCCCTTCGCACAAGCAGCCCGAGAAAGAATGAACACTCTGGGAGAAAAGGCTTTGAAGGACACGGTGGAGTTCAACGAGCGAGATATCCTGGAGGAAAATATTGACTTCCTGCGTGGTACTCTAGACCTCGAAGGACTGGAATTGCGCTGGACAGAAGAGTGTGACAATGAACGCACCAAGGAAGAGGTAGTGCCTGGGGAACCTTATTTGACCTTTTCGGTGGCCCCAAATGTTGCCATGTCTCTGGTCAATCCCCAGCCTCATCTAGGACTGTTCAATTGCAAAGTTCCTATCTATGACAACGACACACCAGCATCTGTAGCCAGCCGTCTAAAACGATTGGAGCGCGGAGTGAAACCCTCCATGAAGGTCGTTTTCTACCGGTACAAGGATCCCCTTCTCGGCCCACGGATGCTTCCATCTCCGACAACCATCGCACAGATAACAGAGGAACTAAAAGAAAATGTGGTCTTCAGTCTCAAAGAAAACAGCGTCCATTTCACAAGTAATGGCACTTCATCGTTCTTAGGAGCAAGTGTTATATATATGGTAGAGTAATATTATGTTTGTACTATCTTCAGAAGAATAAACATCTGGATATTTTTGTCCCAATACAAAGCAGTTTATTTGAGCTAAAGTGGAAGTTTGATAAATTGGTTTGGGTTGATATTGTTTATTTATATAATATAGTATATGCTATTGATTTGTAAAAAGGCTAGATTCTCTAATGAAATAAATTTGTGTGGATACAGAGGGGTTAACTTTTGAGAATTTATTATAATAGACTACTGCTTTAATCAAATTCATAGGAGAATGTAAGAAAAATGTTATTTATAAAGCTTTGGCTTTTTAATTGTAATTATAAAGACGAATTTCATGCAATATGATGTTTGGTACTACTCAGAACATGAATCATAGGTGAACATTACCAGTTATTTATACTTGTATTTAAGTAAGAGCAGGTGTCTTATTTATAATTATTTTATACAAGAAATGCAAATATATACAAAAAAAAAATGTGTGTCCCTAGGAAAATGTGTACTATTACAAAATTCTTGTTATAATTACAGATATTTTATTATTTTCTACTTAAATTATGGTAATAATCTCAAAGCAATATTTTCTGCAAATACAAGTTGTTTACATATTGTATGTTTGCATAACGATGCAGATCAGTTTGTAGTAACGCGAGAAATGGGATTTCATTTATTTATTTTTATTGGGTGGAGTTTCTTTATCAACATGGTTAATGTCTGTAATAATACAAACATTGAAATAATAAAAGGAAAGCACACTGATATTGTTTTTTCTATTTTTATAAACATCACTTCTGCAAATTAGGTTTGCATGAAAATTATTTCACTAATAATGAACAGACTGAAGATGGTCCACTGTTCACTAATTCCAGTTAAATACGTAATATGAATAACTGAACAATCCACCAGTAATGGTAATTTTTCTTAAAGTATACTGATTTCATAAATTTGAACTCTATAGCATTAAATATGGCAATCAACATTATTAAACGTCTCTAAATTTCAAAATTACCTTTATTATAAAAATGCAAAGTTGAATTACTTAAGTAGAAACAATTGCAAACTGAAGTACACCAAAAATAAAAAATATATCCAGTGCGTAAGTGAAGTTCTAAAATCTGCCAAACATGAATAACCGCAACAATAATAATGACTGGTAATTCTGTTCTTTCATAATGAAAATAAAAATGTTAGGCATAATACTACATTCAATCATGATAAAATCCATCACAGAAAAAGTAATGTTAAATGTTTTTTGAGTTTTTGAGGTTTTGAGTAAGAATATCTATGAACTTTAAAAAAGGTAAATAAAAGACCATACTTCTTAAAAAGATTTTTCTAATCTGGACAAACAATGCAGGTTCACACGCAATCCTTTATTACAAATGACCTGGTCTTTTAATAATGGCATTATATTACTTGCGATTTTCTTTTGAAACATTTACTACCTGCTAAAAATAAAGAACTATAATAGAAAAAATACAAAAATGTACACAATACAATATCAGTATAGTCGTGACATTCCAAGTGACGTAGACTCATCAGTCGATAAAAAGCTAGGCAGGAGATTAATGTCATGACTTCTCGTTCTTTTGTTTAATTGTGGCTGTGCTCATTTCATTTATGCATATATCTTTTATAGATGGTATGCATATATACATATACATATACATATACATATACACACACACATACATATATTATATATATATATATATATATATATATATATATATATATATATATATATATATATATATATATATATATATATATATATATATATATATATATATATATATATATATATATATATATATATATATATATATATATATATATAATAAATGCTTTCAAAGGCTGCAATAATAATATCAAAATGGATCAGAAAATCATATTAAAATATGTTATCTTGCAGCTTACAACAAAGGACATTCTCTGGACAGGAAATATAGTACCTGAAGTGATTTTTTAAAAATTTCTATTGGAAGACTTCTAGTAATAGGTAATGCCTAGTGAAAGAGACTTGGTATTTTCCATCAGTTCCACGGCCTCAAAGTAAATATCAGAAGACGTCTTGCAAAATCTTGTGACTCCAAACGAGGCAAGCTGCTCTGCCCACCTTCTTTTGTTGTGCAATTCTAGTAAAGCCCTTTCAATCTGGCCCTGAATTTCATCTGCAAAACAAATGTATCATTGTTTAATATTTTTTCAAATGAATGTGTAATTTTTTTCTACAAATGCTAACAATGAGAAGAATTTACTTTTTTTTCTATAATATCCTACAATTGGTAGATCTGGCAAGCCAAATCAAAGAACCAATTAAAGATATCTCCTTAATTATCTCCCCTTTGATGTCTAGCATATTTATTTCAAACCACTAACCATTAATTACTTCACATCTTTCAAGAGCAGATAAAGAATCTTTACCTGGCAGATTTGTGTTCACCAGTATAGGATGAGGAGGCAGAGGTCCCCATGACTCCTGAAGATGCAGTTCTGCTTTTTGGTAATAAAAGCGGTTCAGGTAGTTGGTTAAGGCGATGGAATCCACTGCCGCTGCCTCCGCTTTCTTTGCTACTACCATCTCCAGCGAATTCATATGGTTACCTGATGCTGTTCAGATTATTAAGGGAGAAAACTGTCAAACTCATCTCCAATTATTAGCATGAAAATTGGAAAGGTTCACTTCTGTATTTAAAAAAGAAAAAATTTAGAAAGGCATTTTGAAATAAGTAATCATATACTCAAACCATTACAATAACTATGATCACTAATGTTATTCATGTTATTTAGAGTAATAAAATTTAGCACATTTTTTAATCTTACGTTAATATAAAAACTTGTCTGTATATTACAATGAAGGCAGAACAGATACCCTGAATATCAGAAAAGAATGACGCATTTTCTCCCATCTGCTTCAGGGTAAGAAGAACTTGTCTGGCACTGCTGATAGAATTTTCACTCGCATATGCATACTTGCAACCTCGCAGATCTAGGAATTCCTTAACTCTATTTCTGCATGGAAATGGAATAATGGAACAAATGTACTTGAAAAGCATGGAAATGTGATGTGCAAAAAAAAAAATGGCCTAAAGAAGCAGCAGAAACAATGACAGGGTGCAAACTTTGATTGTCATTAATTTTTGCAGCATTCTGAAGCTTGTGATTTCTGTGGGAAAAGGGAATGAGATAACACACAAAAGGTGAAAATAGGGAACCATTCTGAGATAAGGAAATGAGTACTTAACTATGAAGTACTTACAGAGGAAAACCAATTTCTATCAATATATATATATATATATAATTTTGAAGTCACTATATCAAACGCAAATTGTGGAAAACAGGAAACAGCAATCAGATGAGCATGAACAACTGCAAAACTTGAATCAGGTCTCAGGAGAAGAACTGATTTTGTGCCGTCACAAGGAATGCAGGAGCCATTAGCCAAACCAGGGTCCAGCGTCTCTTGAAGGACGGAATGGCAACAGTTTCACTTGTTATTTTCACACCTTTCAGCAAATGAAACATTACTGATATACATAAATACATACATATATATATATGATGTATATACACATATGTACACACACATATATACACACATATATATGAATATATATATATATATATATATATATATATATATTATATATATATATATATATATATATATATATATATATATATATATATATATATATTATATATATATATATATATATATATATATATATATATATATATAATATATATATAATATATATATATATATATATATATATAATATATATATAAATATATATATAATATATATATATATATATATATATATATGTATATATTATATATATATGTATGTACATATGTACGTATGTATATATGTATATATATATATGTGTGTGGTGTGTGTGTATATGTATATGTATGTATATGTATATGTATCTGTATCTGTATCTGTATCTGTATATGTATATGTATATATATGTATATGTATATGTATATGTATATGTATATGTATATATATATGTATATGTATATATATATATATATATATATATATATATATATATAATATATATATATATATATATATATATTTATATACACACACATATATATAATGTTTATATACATATATATATGTCATAGCAAAAAATTTTCACTGCACACTTTTATGAAAACTCTTGCCATCTGCTTCATATATATTCAAACCTACAAAAATCAAACATTAATACATAGCTTTGTATAGAAAACAGGCTGCATCAAAATACTTAACTGGCAAAAGAAGCAGTACAAAATAGGGGAAAAAATTTCAATGATATTAGTCTCAAACAATAAAGTTATAGAAAATACAACAGCCGTCTCGAAAAAATTAAAAAGTCACATAGGAGTTGATCACATTATAAAATAAAAGCAGCTATATAGTAACAAATAGCAAATCTCAGTTACAAATGAGCTTTCAAAAAATAAATGAACAAATTAATAAATAAAGCAAAACAAAATCAATGGAACAAATAATAATACTGACGTTGATTTAATCTGAAAAAAGGTACTGACGAACTTACCTGACATCCCTATGAACAACGATGTCTGCAAAGTAACCGTGGACTTCTCCTCTCACTGGGTGTTTTGTCGCAGCACTTGCAGGAAGCAACTTGAATTTGTTGGAAGACCGAAACTTTTCTATGTAAGTTGAAGTTCGTACAAAGGCTGGAGCATGAGTAGTGATCGCAATTAGAGAGAGAATTATGAAGAATTAACGTAATTAACAAGCCGGAAACCTATATGTGTATTGTAATACCAATCTGTGTATTACTTAGCCTTACTGTTTCAAATCAAGGTTTACACAAAATCCTATGTATTCATATCATCATAGCTATGAAAACTTCTCAAATGACAAGGTGGGAGGGAGGGAGAGAGGAAAGAAAGGAGGGAAGGATAAAAGGACAGATGGACGGAGGGGGGGGGGAGGGGGAGGGGGGAGGGAGAGGGAGAGGGAGAGGGAGAGGGAGAAGAGGGAGAGGGAGAGAGGGAGAGAGAAGAGAGAGAAGAGAGAAGAGAGAGAGAGAGAGAGAGAGAGAGAGAGAGAGAGAGAGAGAGAGAGAGAGAGAGAGAGAGAGAGAGAGAGAGAGAGAGAGAGAGAGAGAGAGATATGGAAGCACACAGAAACAGAAGCACATACATAAAGATTTGTCTGTTTATCTTTCTAGAGACAGAAAGAAACAGAGACAGCGAGAGATGCACACATAGAAAAAAACGTTATACAGTGAAACAAAGACAGAGATATCCAATAGCCAAACAGCCAGAGACTGCAAAGTGACAGAGAGACTGCGACCAACGGATCCTACCCATGTCAATCCTTTCTTCATCCCCTCGCTGGCTGTCGGGTCCCGGCCTCCGAGAGTCATAGAGGAGTACTGTTCTCAGATTGAGTTCCGTTTCAAGATAGTCGGCCAGGAATTCATAATACTCCACTGGAAGACTTGGGCACATGTAAGTCGCCAAACGAAGAAGCCTGCGCTCCGATGTCATGGTTGAAATATTTGACTGAAAGAAAAAAAATTGTTGAAAATTACACTTTTTACATGTGAATCAATTTCTTCAAAAAGAGAATATCAGGAGAAATCATCTTAATATTCTAATCTATAATCAGGCTGTTTCTACTTTTATTACTTCCATTCATCTAACGACTTGATTTTAATTTCATGTGAATAAGATCTAAATTGGAAGACATAACGAAAGGAAATTTACGAGTAAATGAATGTTTCTTTCTCAATTCTTCTTTTAAGGATGTATTGTATCATCTCAATTAAATACAATATGTTATTCAATGAAATCAACTAAATTTGTTAAAAGACTAGTTAAATAACATAAAAAGTAAGATTATAAATGTCAATATTTGCCATTAACTCATCAATTCAAATTCCTTTTACAGCATGTACTAAATTTTTTGACAGATGCAAATAAGCATAGTTAGTACAGAGGTGTGTGTGTGTGTGTGTGTGTGTGTGTGTGTGTGTGTGTGTGTGTGTGTGTGTGTGTGTGTGTGTGTGTGTGTGTGTGTGTGTGTGTGTGTGTGTGTGTGTGTGTGTGCGTGCACACACACACACACACACACATACACACAGGTAATTATGATGAATTTCATGATAATTCCTTTATTATTGACAATATCTACAGCTATATGTAGCCTTTAATAACAATATACCAATTTGCAATAACAATAACTTTAACATTCAATAACAATAATGCCAACATGCAATAACAATAACATTAACCTTTACTAATAATTACATTCCTGCAATAACAATAACATCAACTATCAACAACAGAGGTAATTTCTGTCTTCAATAACACTAACATCAACCCGTCAGTAACAATAGCATCAGCTATCAATAAAAATCAACCATCAATAACAATAACAAAGTCAACCAAAAATAACATAAATTATCAATATCAATATCATCCACCAATAACAGAAACATTAACTTTCAATAACAAAAACATTAACTTTCAATAACAATAACATCAACTATCAATAACAATAACATCAACCATCAACGACAATAATATCACCAATCAATAAAAATAATATCAACCATCAATAACATCAAGTATCAATAATAACATTATCCATCAATAAAAATAACATCATAAACCATCAGTAACAATAACATTAACCAACAATAACATTAACATCAATCACCAATAACAATAACATCAATCATCAATAACAAAATCTCAGCCTTCAATAACTATAAAATGACCCTCATTATCAGTATTAACACCAACCTTCAATAACCAAAAACAAACTCTTAACATCAACCACCAACCGCAACAATAAAAATCACTTTAAAAATCACCACCACAACAATCAATTAAAATCACTTTAAAAATCACCAACCACACACCAATTAAAATCACTTTAAAAAATCACCAACCACAACAAATAACCAATCAAAATAACATTAAAAATAACAGCACTTAACAACCTCAACACACAACACAACCCACATCAAACTAAGCAGGAGACAGCAGCCAGGGGACAGCAGGCGGGAGACAGCAGGTAGGCACTGTCTCTCTCCCTCAGTGGCACCCGCGAGAGACTCACCGCTGCTCTTTGGCACCGCGAGAGCCTGCTGGGTGCCACTCTGTCTGGGATTAAATAAAGAAATGGGTGCCTGCGTCTTATCAATGGGTATTTATAGGGTTTATGGTGAGGTTGAGGTGCCTGTTGTGTGGTTTAATCGGTATTGGTTGTGTTATTTATTCGTGTTATCATAATTATTATTATTAAGGATGCTGTCACTCAGTGTAAAAGTGATTCTGCAACACTGATTTTCCTCGAGAAATTGTAAATTTGAAGAGAAACCTATTGAGAACACCATAATACGCATTTTCTCTCTAGCTTCCGACAACAATACACCTTTCTCCTTTAACTGACACTTTTAAAGGCCTTTTCCAAGTGTTATCTCTCCGCCACACACTTACAAAGCAGCCGTTTTCAGGAGCGGCGCCGGCACTGGAAGACTCGAGAGCGACGTAACAAGAGCCTAGCAACATGCAACCGAGCCCTACCCCCCCCCATTTCCCCTAAGGACCCCTTTACCCCGCCCCACCCTCCTCCGCTGACCCTAAGCCCTCCCTACAGGGCCCCCTATGCCCGCCACAGGGGGTACCTCAGCCTCTCCCTCCTCCCCCTGTAACAGGTTTCTCTTGAGCGGTTGCCAAATCCCTTTTATTGATTTATTATATTTTCGGGAATCAAGGTCGGGTTTCTTTGAAAACGATACTATTATAAGACGAAGAATGAATATTTCCAACACATTAATGGATGCATTTGTATGATTGGTGGCATTTTCTTCCATGTTTTTAGTTTTAAAATGTTATGATTGAGGAGGAAACGTCACTGGCAACTTATCATCAGCTGACGGAGCCACGCCTTCGATGGCTTGCCTTTTAACTCTAGCATCAAACGTTTCGTAAAGAGACTAAAG